AATAGAAGATATCAACTATTGTATTATGTCATATTTTGACAGTAACAGTAGTGCATAATACGACATGACTTGACATGTCATTATGCACTATTACTATTGATATGTAATGAAAATGTAAACAAAAAAATAAATTTAAACTTAAAGATTTCATTTTGAAATGCAATCCTTCTAAAGCAAAATATTAAAAAATGGAAATTCTAATTTAAAAATTAATTTTTGTAACAAATGCCATTGAAATGATTAGGATTTTCACAAACAAAATTGGTTTTGTGAAAAACGTTCAAACCATCTCTAAATCCTAGGTGTGCCTCTAAGCTGCTGCGTGACATTGGACAAGTCATTTCATCTTCCTGCCCCAGTTTCACTGTCTAAAGTGAAGAGTGATATGTAGGTACCTTTGTAAAGCGTTTTGAGAGCTATAAATACAAACCATATTACTACTGAAGGGGGCTTCATGGAAGCAGTGCATTCTGAGAAGAGATCTGAAAAAAGGTACATGCTTGTCATACTAGATTACAGAGGCTGTTAGATAAATATATTAGACCTGGGTATATTCTCCCCATGTTCTCTATCTATATATGTTTTGTCATTTCCAATATACCACACGTGTATAATCAATTATATTATTCCTGTATACTTATCTTATCTTATCTTATCTTATCCTATATACTTATACCTTATCTTTAAAGGTGGAATTGAAAAAAAAGTTTTAAAAAACCTTTTAGTTCCTACTACAGTAATGCATTTTACTATTTTAAGGTGGCTGCCCTCTTCCCCCTACCCATCACTCAGAGTTCTGTAGCCAAATTTATCATTCAGCTTTTCACCCATATCATAAACCATCAATTCTCCATTATAGCCCACTTTGACAAATTACTCTGTGCAACACCATTTCCAAGTTATCTTTAGCAGCCAATACAGCTCATAAATCCACACCATTGTAGTGGTTATTAGAATTTCATTTCATGCTTGCATTCACAAACATTTAAGCTTTCAACCTTTGCTATTGGGCATTAATCATGGCATTAATCATGGGATTAAGTATGCTGAATTTAAACTCAAGGTTAACAGCATGTTCAACCAATATTAGTTTTACATACTGTCAAGGGAGAACTCTAAAAGGCAAAGACCTATCTGTCAGTTCTTCCCTAAATACAAAAACAAATTGATGAGTAAAGAACTGTTTTTCTGTTCCACTATGAGCACAAAAAATCACATAAATTCATCAGTGTTACTTAAAAAGTCATTTCAAATAAAAGTCTGCAAACAGCCTAAATCCTTGCCAATCACTTAACCTCTTAACCTACCATAGTAATTACAATGGAAGCAACATGTACAAATTGATATTAAAAATATATGGTGTCTGGTACAAGACACCAATGAACAAATCTCCTCTTTTAGTATAAGGAAAAATAAATTAATTTTCCAAAATATTTCAGGTAGCAGAAAAACCTATTTATAAAAAATAGAGGGAAGTTAAACATATCTAAAATTATATATTTGCATAAATTTTTGATACTGGCTTACACTCATAATGGGTTAATTATGCAATTCGTAAACGAATCAGCTATATTCTACCTTATTTCCCTGGCATCTATAAATGTATAGTTACCTAATGAACCTTAGGCACCTTGCCTACCATTTAGATTATATGCACATTCAGCCTTCCAGATGTGAAAGGCTGAAAAATAAGATTTGCCCTCCCTGCCAAGAACACATGCTGCATTAAACCCATCTTGCTTCATACCCAATACAATAGCTTAATATTTTACTTATTAACAGTATCTTATTTGAAAGCAATGACTCACCCAGACATATCTGAGTCACAAACCGTTGAACTGAATGCAGGGGTAACCAGGTGAAATTCTATGGCATGTGTTGTACATGAGGTCAGACAAGATGGTCTAATGGCCTTAAAATCTGTGAAAGTGTTTCCAACTAGGTGTGATGGTCCAGGGCTGGCCAGCTGACCCAACCTACATTTGTATTATAAACTATAGTGAGTTTCATAGTCTATGTATGTCAAAGAGTATGCTCTTTGACAAAGCTAGGAAATGCTGTAAGATCTGCAGGGGTTAGAGACTATTAATGTACAATAGTAAAAGACTTGAAGAAAACTGCTTGTTGTAGCATGACCCAGGAAGGCAGAGATCTCTCACAAGTACCAAAGTGTTAACAATATATAAAAATATTACCTTAATGAATTGTGATGCAAAAGATTTGTATAACTTTTAATACCTGAGGTAATTAAATTCACCATGGTATCTGCAGCCTCTCTCATTTCAAGTATATACATTGTATACACATATACAATGGACAAATCAAATACTGCATGATACTCACATTGACTAACGCTACTTTAATGTCTTTGAAAGGGGCATAAATAATGACAAGCCAACAGGCGTTGAGATATTTGTAAAGTTGTAATGGAACAGGGAACCTTGGAAATAACTTAAGATAAGAAGTGTGTACCAAAAAGAGGAAATAGACAAGGACCAGAATGATACATAATAAAAGGTATAATTGCCCCTATATTATAGGTAAGGCTGCGATTTAGTCACGGAATCTATGACTTCCAAAGACCTCCATGACTTCAGCCAGCACTGGCTGGGAGCCGTAGGGTCCCCGCCAGGCGGACACCCTGCCACCCCAGAGTTTGGAGCCACCAGTGGAGGGGGACCCTGGAACTCCAAGCCCCCAGGGGTGTTGGGGTCCCCTGGAGCAACCAGCCTGCCTGCAGCTACCCAGGCTCCCATTTTGTCATGGATATTTTTAGTAAAAGTCAGGGACAGGTCATGGGCTTCTGTGAATTTTTCATTATTGCCTGTGACCTGTCCGTGACTTTTACCAAAAATATCTGTGACAAAATCTTAGCCTTAATCATAGGGGAAGTAAGACCATCTGAAAACGGCACACAGTCTGTCACAGAACTACAGGGAAGGTGTTCTGCAGCTGATGGTTACTGTATGCTTCTCTGAATATGTGCTGTCTTTACTAAGTGTTAAATCAATAAATCCATCCAAAGGTGACTCATCTAAGGTTTGTTATCAAACCAATCCAGCCTCAAGAGAGCCCCTCTCACTAAACAATCACAGTTAAAATTGTTATCAATGATTGCTTATCAATTAATTGGTTATTGATTATTGACAAATTATTGATTACCAACAGGGTTATAATGGATCACAAATTAAACATGAGCCAACTGTATGATGCAGTTGCAAAAAAGGCTAGTGCCATTCTGGGGTGTAACAACTCAAGTGTCATAAGCAAGGGCTGGTCTACGCTAAAGCTGTAAATCAACCTAAGTTATCTTATGCTTCTCATGGAGGCGGAGTACAGAGGTCGATGGGAGAGTGCTCTACCATCGACTTAGCTTGTCTTCACCAGACCTGCTAAATCGACAACTCTGCATCGATTGCAGCAGTGCCAATTTACCCGTTAAGTATAGACAAGACCTAAGACAGAAAATCATCATCCAGCTGAGGCGTCAGTGAGGCCTCAGCTGGAAAATTGTGTTCCGTTTTGGGCACCCCTCTTTAAGAAAGATGTGGAAAAATTGGAGAGAGTCCAGAAGAGAGCAACAAAAATGAAAAGAGGTTTAGAAAAGCTGACCAATGAGAAAAGGTTAAAAAGTTGGGCGCATTTAGTCTTGAGCAAAGAAAACTAAAGGGGGACCTGATGACAGTCTTCAAATACATTAAGAGCTTATATAAAGAGGAAGGTGATCAATTTTTCTCCATGGCTACTAAAGGTAGGATAATAATTAATTGGCTTAATCTGCAGCAAGGCTCCCCTTGCAAGTACTGGAATAGATTACCGAAGCAGGTTGTAGAATCCCCATCACTGGAGTTTTTTAAGAATAGGTTGGACAAACACCTGTCAGGGATGTTCAAGGTACACATGTCCGGCCTCAGAAGATGTAGTTGACCTCTTGAGGTCCCTTCCAGCTCTATATTTCTCTCAGCAGATCTGAAAGCTCTTTAAAAGCATTAATGATTGAGGCTCACAAATGCCTCTTTGAGATAGGCAGCTCATTTTATAGATAGGGAATGTGAGATCGAGAGAGATCACGTGACTTGCCCAAGGTCACACAAGAAGTCAGCGACAGAGCTGGAAATGGAACTTAGCCTGCCACACAGTCTTTTAGCCAGCAAATTATACCTGCCTTCCAGAAGTGAAACGAAGAGTGGTAAAAACATGGGAGGAAGAAACAAGCTGGAGACAAAAGTCATAGAAGACAAAGCCGTATGTTCAATGCAAAAAAAAGTAAAAAAAAAAATAAAACAAAAAAAACGCTAGAAGAGAAAAACCCGAAAAACCCAAGCACGCAAGAAACCATGGCTTGCAGGTTAAAGGAGATACCCAACTCCTGTAATGTAGTATATAGGAGGAGAGATCAACTGAATTCCATAAGGAGAAAACCCTTGAAAGCATTTCATTCATTAATCTTCATCTGTTCATTTCTGGAATTTTTAGCCTTTTTACCACATCACTGCCTGGAATCATTAGAGAGCTGTTACTAATAATTTGGCAGATTTAATAGAGAACAATGACATTAATCAAATTCAGAAAGTATGAAAGGCCAAAGACTTGACAGAGTCTTTTGACTACACTAGAGAATTTTGGTGCAAGCTGCAAACTGAATTTGAGGTGGTGCTGGGCTCTGGCTCTCTCCAGGTATTGCTTCTGGTACACCTTCCACTAATCACCTGGGCTGCATGAGATCAATGAGATGAGATTTGTGATGAATTTTCAGGACCTCCAGCAAAAATTGTCTTGTAACAGTACAATTCTCTAAGGCGGACATACCTACGGAGCTCTAAATACTTGCAACACCCTTTGGAATCATTTTAGTTTCTCGCTACCTCCTCACAGAACTCCTGTTCAAGATTTGTTCTCTTTTTCCCACATGAATTGTACAAGTAATTATCCATAAATACTGAGACATTTTAGTGCTCCCTTACTGTAGGTTTTATGCACTTGAAGACAGACTTACTGACCTCACTGAGGTAAATAAAAAAGGAGCATGTCGACCCATCCACACCGTAACTTGCATAACATGGATCCGATCGCCACATATCTTTCATCCACTGAAACAAAACAAAAATAGCCAGTCTGTTAGGTTTAAGGCTTGTGTGTAACCATTAACTTTAAAAAGCCACGTTTTCATCAGAACTCAATTTGGGAGGGGGGAAAGCTATGTCAAGAGATGAAACAGACTAAAATCAGTAGTGTCAGAAGCTGTGGAAACTGTACCGCAGACTATAAAAAATGAGTTGACTATCTCTTTTAAGCCACTAATGCTAGGTCACTACACGTGGTCACCATGGATGACTATATTAAGCACTAACTGGAAGCCAGATAAGAACAGAGATCAAAGACTGAATGGAGACTTGCATACTCTCTCCAGAGCAAGATTGAGGCATGTTGGTGGCATGACGTGGCTTACATTGGCTCTGAACATGTTGCACTTATTCTGTGTTCAAACAGATCACTTCAGTCCCCGGTGCTGTGAGTCTGGCATCTTTACACAAGCAAAGAATTCATTTAAAAAAAAAATCTTTTAATGAAGAACTACCTAGAATTAGTTGTCCTGGCAAAGTCATCAGAAAAAGTAACCAAAAATAAATTGTTCTTCAGGATTATAAATTAGCAATTTAGCATTCAAATGACATCAATTACTCAGCAGTTTTGCAACCAGTTTGTCCATGTTGTTCAAAACTGAAGTCACCGAGATCATATAGGCCAAGGAGAGTTTGATTTTTTTTCAAAGTGAATTTACAATAAACATCAATATTTATTTCCAAGTACTTTTATTGATTTAGTAGAATTTTTTTTTAAATCTCAGATTCCAAGTATATAATCAAAATATATATCACATCTGAAACAGTTTCAGAAACAGATTTTAATATTTCAGAATCATTCATTTTTATGAATTAATAAACAAGAGAAATTTACATTTTTAAAATCACTAATCAGTTTCATTGGCCATTCAAGTTGCACTTTTTTTTTTAAATGAAAAAAATTCTACCAGAAAATATGTATTACTGAAATTTTTCAATGTTTTTGGGTTGAGTAAGAAATTGACAGTTTTCAGTATTTGCTAATTAAAATATATATATATATATATGGCCAACAACAAGGTAGGCACTTCAGAGATATGGCAAGGACTTTGGCCCAATCTATAGTTCTGGTTGTGCACAGAGTTCAATGGGATTATTCATGTGTATATGATTATTCACATACCTAAACTTGTGTAGGACTGGGGCCTAAATATTTCTGAATTTCATCTGATGTGCAAACTATTAAGGGACAGAATACTAAGATGCACAGCAAGCCTCCCAAATACTACGGGACTCTATCTGGCGTTTTATCCCATGCCTTAACAAGGGATATCATCCATTTTCTTCCAGCAGCAATATTACAATGGCTTCACGTAAGGAGTGCCATAATGGCATGTAATCTTCTATACTTGTCTTCTGTGAATTCTGGTGGTTAATCTCAATTGCTTATATCTATAAATCTACAACTGTTTCAGCAATGGCCTCTTTCAACAGACGGGATTTTAAAAACATAACATGTACAGAGATATTAACAGAAGACCACACTTACCTTTATTTTGCCCTCGCAGTGAGGGAAGCCATCCATAGGAGGCAATTCACACTGTTCCTGGGCTCCATTAATGAGATCTGAAGAGAACAAACAACAGAACATTAATATTCATTTACACTTTTGGCAGACATACTAAAGCCATCCCTTTGAACTTCTGAACCACCATCCAAACTCACTAAAGAAAGGTTTTAGAGTGGTGGCTGTGTTAGTCTGTATCACCAAAACAACAAGAGTCCTTGTGGCACCTTAGAGACTAAAATTTATTTGGGCATAAGCTTTCGTGGGCTACAACCCACTTCATCAGATGCATGGAGTGAAAAAAACAGTAAACAGAATATATTATAGCACATGAAAAGATGGGAGTTGCCATCTTTTATATATTCTGCTTACTGTTTTTTTCACTCCATGCATTTGATGAAGTGGGTTTTAGCCCACGAAAGCTTATGCCCAAATAAATTTGCTAGTCTCTAAGGTGCCACAAGGACTCCTCGTTGTTTTCACTAAAGAAAGAATATTGTAGTCTCTGTGGCAGCAGTAAATGGATAAACTGCAAGTTTTGGTGTCAATAAAAATAATGTTGATGCACAAAGTAATTTTTAAAACTCCTGTTTAATTTTAAACTAAGTAAGCACCTTTCAAAATAATATTTGGACAACAGCATGGGTCCGATCTGGAAGCCCTTACACAGGCAAGTAGTCTCACTTAAATCCATACGTATGATTCGCCTCCCACACCAGTGACAAGAGTATCTCCACTGAGCTCAGTGGAGTTAAGCTGGTGGTAAGAGGACAATTAGGCCTAACAGGACTTTTTGAATGGTTAAAGGATCAGCTCCTATGCTTGAACAGTGCAGTGGATGCTGTTGGAACTCAGTAATTAGTAGTAATGAACAGCAGAAAGTTTGGTATGGAATTAAATTGTTTTTTAGGTTACAACAATGGAGAAAATTTTTTTTTACAAGATGGTACTTGGCAGTCAAAAGAGTACCATTAAGGCAACTTTGGAGCCACATACAGAGTGCGGAGTGGGGTGGGGTGGGGGAGAACAGAGCCAGTGCAACCCATTAGGCGACCTAGGTGGTCGCCTAGGGCACTAGCATTTGGGGGGCGGCATTTCGGGTCCTTCAGCGGCGGCCAGATATTCAGCCGCCCCGGTCGTCGTTGGCATTTAGGCGGAGGGAGCTGGGGCAGGGGGACGCGGGGAGGGCCGCCTGCAGCAAGTAAGGGGGTGGGGCGGCACACAGGGGAACCGCTCCCCACCCCAGCTCACCTCTGCTTCGCCTCTTCCCCTGAGCACGCCGCCCCGCTCCTGCTTCTCTCCCTCCCAGGCTTGCGGCACCAAACAGCTGATTGGCACCACAAGCCTGGGAGGCAGGAGAAGTGGAGCAGCGATGGCGTGCTTGGAGAGGAAGCGGAGAGAGATGAGCTGGGGTGGGGAGCTGCCGCACGACTCCCCGGGCCAGGGGGAGCTGCCGCGAGGGGGCGGGGCGTGCCTCAGGGCGGAGGGGAGAAGCTGCTGCTGCTGGCGGGGGGGGGGGTAGAGGGGTGAGACACCTTAGTGCGGAGAACTGCCACAGGGCTCGGGGAGGGGACGCAAGGTGGAAGTTTCGCCTAGGGCGCGAAACATCCTTGCACACTCCCGGGGGGGGGGGGGGAGGGAAGGAGGAGAGG